TGGTGCTGGGGGATTGAACCGCGGTCCCTGTGCTTTGCTAAGCTTGTTCTAAGTAGGTGCTTTAGACCACTGAGCCATCTCACCAGCCCCTACAGCTATAATCTCTTAATTCAATGAATAGAAAGATTTGTTCTAATATTGTTTGTAAACAGGATTATCATATCCACATCTTGTACAATGAATAACCACTAAGATAACAATATATAATGTATTAATTATTGAAACTGTCCTACTAATTGGATTTGAAACTGTCTCATTGCTATTTGTTTCTCAATAAAATTATGGAAAAATAAAAATTCTCTGGATAATCCAAAAATTAAATTAAAAATAAATAAAGATTACATATATGGGGGCCAGTGAGATAGCTCAGCAAACTAAAGCACCTGCTTAGGCAAGCTTATGCAAGCGAGCTGAGGCACCACATGCTGCACCAGCCCCACCCTCAGGGCAGGATGAGCTGGCCACAGAGTCTGGGCATAGCGGAGTACATATGCCTATAATCTCAGTGCTGGGAAGGCTGAAAAACAGGCGGATCACTATGAGTCCAAGCTACATAGTGAGACCTTGTAACAATCAAATGCATTTTTTTAAAAAAAGGAAAAGATTATGGATAGGTAGAGTATATATACTAAAGAATCCCACAAAAACCTGTTTGAACTAGTAAGTCTACAAAGCAGAAGTTAAAAAAACTTAAGAAATAAATGGAAGAGGGTCAGCCAGATAGCTCAGCAGACTAAAGCTCCTGCTTAGGCAGAGAATAGGGGCTGGGGTTAGATCCCCAGCATGCCTTGCCAGCCCTGCCCCTGGGGCACACTGAGATGGCCATGGAGACTGGGTGTGGTGTTGTGTGCCTATAATCCCAGCACTTGGGAGGCTGAAAACAGGAGAATCACTACAAATCTGATCTACATAGTGAGACCCTATAGACCTTATACTAAATATATATACATATATAAAAGAAAGAAATGGAAAGACATCCCATATCCATAGATTTCAAAGATTTATATCAAAATGTCAATGGTATTCAAATCAACATAGGGGGAATCCACATAATTCCTATTAAAACCCAACATTGTTTTTCCAGAAACAGAAACACCCATCTGATGATTCACATGTAACCTCAAAGGACTCCTACATAGTTACTATGATCTTGAAAAAGAAAAATAAGTTGGGGGACTTTCAACTTCCTGGTTTCTGAAACTTACTACAAAGCTGTAATAACTCAAACAATACAGTGCTGAAATACATATCAAGAGAACATAATAAAGTGCACAGAAACAAATCCTAAAGTCTATGTTCAAATGATGTTCAACAAGTGTGCCAGAACCATTCAGGGGAGAAAATATTATCTTTTATACAAATGGTGCAAAGGAAACAGCTATCCACATGCAAAAGAATGAAGTTGAATCCTTATTTCATACCATATACAAGTTAATTCAAAACAGGCCAAACATCTAAATCCAAAGGATAAAACTTGAAGAAAAGAGTGCAAAGGATTCACGACTTTGAGTTGGCAATGATTTCTTAGATATGACACCAAAGGCATGGGCAATGAAAAAGTAATACACAAACTGGACTTCATGGAAGTTATTACAAAGATACTGTCAACCAGGTACAGTAGCCCACATTAGTCAGGAGCCAGGGGCCAAAAGTCACTTAACTGAGCCAAAGTGTTTGAGGTCTGCCCAGGCAACACAGCAATCCCCCATCTCTTAAATATGTAAAATTTTCTAAAATAATGAAGACAACCTGCCATTTACAAAAGATACTAGCTAGGCATCATAACACAGTTCCATAATCCCAGCTACTCAGGAGACTGAGGAGAGAGGATCAAAAGTCTAGCCAGCTCCAGCAACTTAGCAAGACCTGTCACAAAATAAAAAATAAAAAGGGGCTGGGGCCGGCCAGATAGCTCAGCAGACTAAAGCGCCTGCTTAGACAAGAGTACAGCAGCCAAGGTTCGATCCCCAGTGTACTCCGCCAGTGACTGAGACTGGGTGTACTGAAGCACACCTATAATCCCAGCACTTGGGAAGCTAAAAACAAGAGAATCACTATGAGACTGATCTATATAGTGAGACCCTGTAGACCCTGTACCAAATACATTTAAAAAAAAAGGGCTGGAAATGTAGCCCAGAAGAGAGCCCTTGCCTAGCATGGGCAAACCCAGGGGAACTCAACACTGCCGAAAGAGGGTCGGGGGGAATCAACATTATACAGTCCAACCAGAGAATAGAAAAATGGTCAATAAAGACATGAAGCCTAATCACTAAAGATTAGGGAAAAGCACAGTAACTCCCAGTGAGATACCACTTCCTATCTTTCAGAATGGCCCCCTGAGAAAAACAACAGCTGTGGCAGTGAACTGGAGAAACAGGACTCTATGCGCTGCTGAAGGAAACAGAGCCACATATGAACAGTGGCTCTCCTCTTACTATGACTCCTCAGTAGCTACCTGAACACTTGGAGGAAGTCTTTACCTCACATTAATAAACCTGTAAATTAGGGTTGGGGAGATGGCTTGGTGCATCTGCCTGGCAAGCACAAGATCCGGAGTTTGATCCCCAGTACCACTTGCTGTGCCAGCCCCAGAACTTGGAACGCTAAATCCTGGGCACACTGTGCCAACCACTGAAACCAAGTATGGTGGAGCATGTCTATAATCCCAGCACTGGGGAGGCTGAGACAGGAGGATCACTATGAGTCAGAGCTGTGAAGCAAAACCCTGTATCAAACAAAATTTTTAAAACCTGTAAAAAAATTTACTGAGTAACCCCTATACAAGCATAGTATAGAGAACAAAATACTCTTCTATTATAGCTCACCTTCCACAAGCAATCTGAGTGACAATGCTTCCCATAAGTTCAAAAACTTTTCTTGGGTTAATCTCATGACTGGTGGAATTATGACCCAACTGACCATACCCTCCAGCTCCAAAAGTAAATACTCCACCTTCCTAAAAAAGACAAAACCATGTATTAGAACACCTGATAATAGAAAATAAGTCATCTTTGGAAATATATTATCTTTAATATGAACTCAATGTTTTTCTTCTCTTCTACTGTCTTGAAAGTTTACCAGACGACCGCTGAATTACAGGTTGAAAGCTAAATATTTTCATTTTGGAAGCTGAAGTCCTAGGTAAAAATCTTCATTAAGTACTTAAATGCATGGCATTAATACTCCAAGTAACATAAAATTAAACACCTAGGGGATGGAGAGATAGCTCAGCGGTCTAAGCACCTGCCTGGCAAGCCCACGGACCCAGGTTCAATCTCCAGTACCCCATTGCCGTGCTGGCCCATGCTGAACTGGCCATAGAAACCAAGCGTGGCAGTGCATGCCTTTAATCCCAGTGCTGAGGAGGCTGAGACAAGAGGACCACTACAAGTCTGAGCTGCATAGCAAGACCCTATACCAGAGCTGGGGAGATGGCTCAGTAGAATAAGTGCTTGCCTGGCAAGCACAATGGCCTGAGTTCAATCCCCGGTTCTGGAAAAAAAAAAGACCCTATACCAAATAAATAAAATTAAACACCTAAAAATGGCATCATCAATTGGCAAGACAGTTATGCTCTAAACATAAAAGCTATTCATAGAGAGGACACAGTGGTAATCCTAGCACTAAGGAGGCTCAGGGAGGAAAATCATTGTGAATTCAGGACCAGCTATACAGTAAACTCAAGGCCTCCCTGAAGTGAACAGTAACACACCATCTCAAAAAGACAAAAAATAAAAATAAAACTCATAAAGGGGCCCAAAAAGCTGGGGAGATACCTCAATGGTAGAAAGGCCTGCCTGGCAAGCACAAGGTCCTGAGTTCGATCCCTAGTACTGCATGCCATGCCAGGTATGGTGGCACATGCCTGTAACCCCAGCACTAAAGGAGCCTGAGACAGCAGATCACTGAGTCCAAACTGCATAGCGAGTCCCTAGCTTCAAAATAAAAAACAAAAATACCACAAATACAGCATTTTTTTTTTTTTAAAACCAGGGATTGAACTCACGACCTTGCCAGGCAGGTGCTTATGCCACTGAGCTATCTCCCCTGTCCAGGCAGAAATTTGTAGTATATGATAGTCATGACATTAAGATGGTCTTCAAAAAAGTTCTAAAAATACATACTTAGATTAGAGGTTGCAGAAAGAGTCAATGATGACAATGACATAACTACAATTAGTATTTTTCAGGTCACAACTCGCTTTTATTACTATAACTGTATATCCAATCTTACGTTAATTTCTTCATAACAGTATGAAGAAATTTACACATATTGCAAAGTGAGGAAATAAATTTTTTTCAAACAAGAACAAAAGAGTAAAAAGAAAACAGTAGCACTCACTTTGCCAGCTCATATGCCAGAGAAAATATGGGGAATCATTATATTAAACCTTGATTCAGTTTCTATTACTGGTAAAAAGGTATCTTATTTCATTGCTACCCCATTCTGAATTGGGGAGGGTACTTCAACAAAAAGGACTGTATTTTTTTAAAATTATTAATTTATTTGTGTGTGTGTGTGCGCGCGCGCGTCTGTGTGTGTGTGGCCAGCTCAGCCCACCAGGGGGCGGGGCTGGCTGGCATGTGGTGCTGGGGGATTGAACCAGGGTCCCTGTGCTTTAGCTAAGCTTGTTCTAAGTAGGTACTCCAGACCACTGAGCCATCCCACCAGCCCCAAGGACTGTATTTTTAAGGACTGTATTTTAAAGTGTCATCAAATCACTTCCTGCATAAATGTTCAAAGATATGTATCTTTAACAGATAAAAATATAATCATAATACTATTATCAAACTCACAAAATAATCTTCATTATTTATAGCATATCACAAATCATAACATCCAGTTGGCAACGTTAAAAACATTAAGTGGGATAAAGTGTATCATCCTAATCATTCCCCACTAACCTTATAATTTTGCCTAGACTCATTATTTCATTGAGGTACAAAATTGTAATTTCTAATTTTTTCATTTATTTTAGGTTTATTAGTTTTAGATTCTTCTATAAAAAGTTGAACTCATCAACTATTAAATTACCCTTCAACTCGCAAATACATCAGAATAAATGCTTAATTTTTTCTCATTAGTTACTGATTTTCTTGCAAAATGAGTTGTTGCCCTAGCAATTCCCAAAAGTAAACAATGAACTTTGCTTATACTGATTTAAGGATAAGACAGATCATTACAGGGTGGGGAGAAAAAAAAAAGATCATTATAAAGTCATACATTTCTATATGGCTGATGTTGTTTAGTAATTACTTCATTTTGATAGCCAATAAAATCTCCTCCTCCAAAGTAATCTTTCCTTTTCTGCATCACGAAATGCCTCAAAATATTCTTGTGCACTTTTCTTTTTCTTTTTTTTTTTGGTTGTTTTGAACCTGGGTCTCACTATATTCCTTAGCCTGGCTTCACAGACCAGGCAAGTGATCCTCCTGCCTCAGCCTCCCAGCAGCTGCTTCCAAAGGTACACAGTCATACTCATATTCTCCTATACTTTTTTTGCCCCAGGAATGGGACACTTCTCTAAAAAAACTTGCTCCTTTTAGTGAAGAATCTATAGCACTCAAGGGATGTTCACTGCTCCATCATACATGATTCATTATGCCAAGGGCCTTTCAGTAGCAATAGCAAAAATATTTTTTAAATTTTTAGAAATTACAAAAAAGACAGATTTGATTAGATAAAGACAGATTAGAAACAAAAAATAATTCATGGAGCCATCACCATGAATTACAGGGGATGGTACACACCTGTTAACCCCTAGATACAAGGATCCCAAGTTTGAGGTCAGCCTGGGAAATTTAAGGAGATCCTCTCTCTACATAAAATTCAAAAAGGACTGGGAATGTAGCTCAGTGGAGAACACTTGGTTGGCATGATGGAGGCCCAGTACAACCAAAACTCAAATCAAAAACCTAAATAATAAAAAATGAAGAGTTTATACTAATAGCTGTGATTCAAAGTAAAAACTGGAGTTCAAATTTAGTTCCTACAGTTTTATAACTCTTTCCCTTAACCTGAAAGCCAGTAATAATTACATACTTGTCTTACTATACAGAGTATGTTGTAATTTAAAGAGCAATATCAATTTTCTTACAAATAATAAGCATACAGAATGTAGTTTAAGATTTCTTCGTAGATTTGGTTTATTTTTTTTTTTGTGGAACCAGGGATTGAACTCAGGCCCTTGTGCTTGCTAGGGAAGCACTTGTTCTACTGAGCCATCTCCCCAGCTCCAGATTTGGCTTATTCTTAATTATCTCCTCTTATTGTTCTTCAAAATAAGTTTATTTACAAAATATAAAATAATTATGTTCTATTTTTAACCTTTTCTTAAAAAAAACATCTGTATTATGCTCTTTTTATTTAATTTGTTCTGGAGATCATGTCATAGCATTAAAATGAGATTTTCCTTATTCTGTATTTTATACTGCACTGAACTGTTAGTTCAACTAGGCTGTGTGATTTAGGATGCTGCTTGAATTTCTGCTAATCATCTGTTACTAAAATATGTCATGGAGCTGGAGAGATAGCTTAGTGACATAAGCACCTGCCTGGCAAGCACAAGGTCCCAAGTTGGAGCCCAAGTAAGGCAAAAAGAAAAAAGAAAAAGAAAATGATGTCATGATAAATATTACAACTTTGCATCTTTGAGGTAAGTTACTATAAGTGGGCTTGCTAGTCAAAAGGTCTATCTACATGTGATTTATATAATGAATATGAAAATGAATTTGAAAAAAACCATGTTCTGGGTGGTGTCCTTTTATCTATCAACACAGCCATCATTCCAATTGTCTTTGAGTCATTCTTTAACTCTCCTAATGCAGTTTCATTATTGTAGCTTTCCTGTTGTGAATTCCACACAAGAAAACGCTTTCATAAGATAATCCTAATCTATAAGAAAGAAATTCTTCCAGAAAAGCAAAAGATATATGGTATGGAACATGTATTCTTACTTAAGAAATAATATTTGCTTGTGAGATGTTTATTGTACTTTGCTAAATATAATGTAGACCAAATACAGCAGTGAAGAAATATCACCAACTATTGCCTTCTGAAAAAACAAAAGCAATGTAGAAGATAAGTAGAAGTAGCATTTTATAAACAAGCATAAATCCAAGAACAATAAGATAGTCAATGTTGGTAGGCTAGATTTGCAAAACATTAATAATCTTTGTAGTATACAACATGAGTGTATTATACAAAATTAGACAGTGTACAAAATACTGTCTATTTTCTTTCATTGTAACAGGGTTTCAATGTGTAATTCAGGCCGCCCCTGAACTCACTATGTAACCCAAGCTGGCCCTGAACTTGCAGCAATCCTCCTGCCTCAGCCTCAGAGTACTAGGATTATAGGCATGCACCACCATGCCCAGCACAAAATAGTTTGACACAAAATACTACTTACATTTCCTTAAAATGCCTAACATCTGTAAAACTTGCCAACATGATTAAAATAAAATTTTGAGCTGGACATGGTGGTGCATGCCTGTAATTCTAGCACTCGGAAAGCTGAGGTAGGAGGATAGCCACTGAGTTTGAGGCCAGCCTTGGCTATCTACACTAGTCTGAAGTACATAGCAAGATCCTTTTTTATTAAAAAAATAAAATTTCAGTAATTCACAATTTGAATGCTAAAATCACTAAAACTGGCAAATACTATAGCTTTTTTACTAAAAGGCAAGTGAAATAAAGTATCTTAAAATTAACTTTTGTAATTGGACATTCTATCTTTTCCATAATAGAGATTGAACTCATGGTCCTTGCCATTTTTTATTTTTGAAACAGGATCTCACTAAACTGCTAAATTGCCCAGGCTGGACTAGAATATACCATCCTTTTGCCTCAGCCTCCAAGAGCACACAGTTCAGTGAATTTGAAATTACTAAAAATAAGTGTTATCGTGTTTAATTTCAAGGCATGGTTAAAGTTAATTCTTTATCAATTTTATCTACTATGCAAAACAATAAAGCAGCAGCCAAATACTGATTTTTAATTTGGCCAATGAAAACTTGCCAGAGTCTTTATGTTAATATGAGTGACTACGGTAAATAATATTTAGGAAAATTAAATGCTTTTTTGTTTGGTTTTGGCCTCTGGGGCAGGATTGAACCCAGAGCTTCTCACATGCAAGTAAATCACCTACCATCTAGGTGTAAATCTAGGCTATGTTTTCGTTTCATTTAACTTCTGCCCATCAGAGAACTAAGCATTACTGATACAGAAATGACACATAATAAAATTATGGGGAAAAAAAAAAAGAAAAAGAAAAAAATAAAGGAAGAAACGGCACATACATAAGACAGCAGTGAGCAAATACCACTGACAAGATTGCTGAAAGCTCACTAATTGTTTGGACAATACTCAGCCTATGAAAAACACAAATCCAGTCTTTCCTGTTACTTGTTACTTATAGCCCAAATGGCCAAACTAGGCAAATTAGGCAGAGCTATAAAATATAAACGGGATCAAGGGATCAATATATATAACAGAACATGCCTAATGGAACTAAAATAGAATCATTTTATTCAAATATTATTTAAGCAATATTTCATATCAAGCTAAGAAACTCTCTGTATAGAATAATTCATATTCCATAACCCTAAACAAAGTAAAAAAAAAAGTTATTTTAAAAAACAAGTCTTTCCAAGATATTCTTCTTTTTTCTTTTTCTTTTTTCTTTCCTCTGAATGCCTTCAGGGCAGTTTTGGCTGGCTTGAGTTGTAGGGATCGAACCACAGCAACCTGAGCCTGACTGCTTTGTTGAAGCAGCCACTTAAAGAACTGAGCGAAAGGGAAGGCCCCCCAAGATGTTTTTCTTTTCCTTTTTTTTTTTTTTTTCAGTACCAGGGATCAAACTGGGACCTTCAGCTCGCCAGGTAGGCGCTAACATCACTGGGCTATCTCCCTGGCCTGAGATAAATTATTTCTGATACACTAAAATCACTCAAGTTCTACTGTAAACATGAAAACATCCTTTAATTACAAATAAGTAATAATACTGAAGTCTTAAAAGTACAATACCTTAGTTAGTGCAGCAGTATGATCTTCTCCACAACAAATATAAACAATTTTCTGAGATCTTAGCGACTTCAGTAAATTAGGAACATACCTATCTGAAAATTTCAAAACAGATGTTAACGATATTTTAAAATTTAAACCTCTTATGAATTTTTCCTATAGTGTTCAGAGCTCAGTAAATAATGATGGCTAAAAAATTTTAATTAAGTATGATTTTGCAGTACAAGACTATTAAAACTTGAGTTCACAGTCCTATCCATGCTATAGTGATAAAAAAAGTAATTCAGAATTAAGTGTTAAACAACTTACATAGCAAGCTCCACAGGAACTGGCAGTCAATATATTTCAAATCTTCTAATTATATATAACATATTCTTTATAGTTACTTTCTGATAACTGACCTCAAAAGACTCTACTTAACAGTCTAAAAACACTACTTCTGCTATTTGTAGCAGAAAGGGTCTGTAATTTCTTAATGTAGCATTTTTTTTTTATCTAAAGAGAATACAAAATAGTAAAAAAAATAATACATTAGAAATGATACAGAACTTCAACAAACAAAATAGGGTTTGTTTTTTTTTTTTTTTTTTTTGGTTTTTAAGACAGGGCCTCTCTGTATAGTTCAAGCTGGCCTTGAATTCACTGTATGGTTTAGGCTGACCTCAAAACTCATGGCAATGCTCCTGCTTCAGTCTCCAAAATGCTGGTATTACAGCTGGGTACCATCACACACAGCATGTGGCAGATATTTCTTAAACATAACTGCGTATATATATATATATATGTATTTTTTTTTCTTTTTTTTTTTGGTACCTGAAATCAAACTCAGGATCTTGCACTCATTTTATCTATTTCAGGTATTACAATTATGTTAAATTTTATAAAATTAGTTTCTCTATGTTAAATACTGGCATTTAACTGACTGCAGTTATGGAAAAAAAACCACATTAAGATTTCACTTGTCTCAAGTAATTATAATTTTAACAAAAAATGTAACTTTTGTATCTGATTAAGGTCAATCCAATCCCCTCAGGATTTAACCTGAAACCATGTATCACAGTTTGTAGATCCTTTGTCAGTGTCAGCTATGTGGATGAGTCACGGCAGCTGCTTGACCCATTTGCTCTCTGTGAAAGCCTGAGAGAATGTTTTCTCTCCATGTGACTCTTAGGCACACTACATCACTGATCACTTTCCTCTGTGGCCCCATAATCTCCTTGATCAGAAAATTTGGGACACAACTGGGTTACATGATGTTGCTTTCTCTTGGTCTTAACCACCCAGCAGAAAAGTATAAAAACAAAGTATAAAAAGTAAAGCCATATGAATATGTTGAGCTGTAAAGGTTCAAGTCAACAACTTCCAACATTGCCAGTCCTACAGAAAACCCACTATTATTATGGACTACTAGACCATATTGGAATATTTTGCTGAATTCATGCACCTACAATATTTAAATGATAATGGAATACCCTTCTCTGACAAAACTAAACAAAAAAGGGGATACAAATGAATGAACATTTTGCATCTGTATATTCAAAACAGTTAGGATAGATACACAGCTGCATCTTCTTAATGCAATGAAAAGAGAGATTTGTTCAAATAGTGTTTGTGGACAGGATATCATGTCTGCATCTTTTTTTTTTTTTTTCTTTTTTTGTGGAACCAGGGATTGAACTCAGGCCCTTGAGCTTGCCAGGCAAGCACTTATTCTACTGAGCTATCTTCCCAACCCCTTCATGTCTGCATCTTGTACAATGAATAACCAGTAAGACAACAATAAGCAATGTATTAATTATTGAAACTGTGCTAGTAATCAGTTTTGAAACTGTCTCATTGCTAATTGTTTCTCAATAAAATTATTTTTAAAAAGCAATTATAATTTTAAAAATTCAAATTCTGCTCATTTTCAGGAATCTATCGTTAGTGTCAAAAGAAAAGCCTAACCAAAAATTCCTTTAATAACCTCAGGCTACACAAACAGATTTAAGACTTCACAGAGCTTGCCTGAGTAAACCTCTCTGCATCACTGCGATCAGACCTTGCACATGCTGAGAGCAATGCTGAGCTACGTTCCCAGCTTCTGCCCAAAGTCATCTGTAGCTTCTCTCCATGGTTAGTAGCCAATACTGGGAACAGTGCTGGTTATTAATTTTAAGTAATATTTTTCAATTTAATTTTTAATTTCCATGCAATAAACATTGTCCAGCTATATGTCCTATAGTTTAAGGTAATAAGGCTTTTTTTTTTTTTTTTGGCTTTCCTACCATTTCCTTAAGAAAGATTTGGGTACATCTTGCTATGACACACTAAGAATTACTCACTCATCTCAAAAACAAACAAACAAAAATACCTCTTACCTTAAAAGCACATTTGAACAATAAAAACTTACCATTCTCATCATTAAGACCTAGCTGACCAAACTTGTTGCGTCCCCATCCAAAGATAGCTCCAGAAAGTGTGAGTACAAAACTATGTGCTCCTCCTGCTGCAACTTGCATGAATGGAATTCCTAGCAAAGACTTAATCAGCTGTGGTGATGTCTGCTTTTTACAGTCAATGCCTAAACCCAACTGGCCGTATTTATTCTGTCCCCAACAGAAAACTTCACTTGCTGTAAAACAAAAATCATAAATTATTTTTCTGACAAAAAGTGTCATTTGAGAATAATCTGCCATTTGGCAACCCTCTACCTCTCAGATGGATTCAACAATTAAGTTGATTTCTTATCTAGAAACCATACCACAGAGAACTTCTGTATTCATACCATTAGCACAGATCCCCCAATGAAGATGAGTTTCTTACTCTCATGCTCCCTGACAAAGGGCAGTTTGAATCCTCCTCAGGTCTCACTTCTACAATTTCTCTCACCAAGAACTCATCAAAAGCTTGGGGCTTCAGTCACCATACACCTGCAGTGATACTAGAAAACTGTAGATACGATCATTTCCTTGCCTAAAAGAAAATACCTCAATATGTCCTATCTGCTCAGAAAGCCTACAGGGCTGACATCCGCCGTGCTGCCCCTCTCATTTCCCAGCATCTCCCCAGTGCCTATTGACCATACTTGTGCTTCCTTGTGTCTTTCAATGGCTACTTCTCATGCACTTGCTATGTCCTCCCCCACACTGTCCCCTCACCTTTGTGCACTTCACCTCTAACCTCCACCCACCAGTCTTTTAGTCTTCATTTGCTCATTTCCAAGATTCAATCTGGTGTCCTGTTAAATATGGTACACTGTAAACTTGTTTTTTATAGCCCTTATCATAGTATGTAGTGAAGCCATTATTTGTGTGACTGTACCATGGCAGCCAGTAATGTCTCGTGTAATCACTATATCACTGTACAGTGTAGCGTTCCTAATTCACACTATTTATTAAATGAACAGTATACCACCTAACACATAAAAAGCTGTATAACGGGGAAAAATGGTCAGTGTCTACATGAGTAAAACCTTGAATTTATATTATATCTATCTACCAAATAACGAAGAGCCGGAAAAGAAACAACAAAGAATACACTTAAATACCATTTTCTATACTGTCTATAAAGTTCAAATTCCCTAACATGACATTTAAGGCCCTTTGGAGCAGATGTCTTTATTTCAACCTAAACTGAAATACCAGTTAAGTCTCTTATGCCCTTACAATACCCAAATAAAACCGTAAGTCAATGCTCAAGTATTCTCTTGGCTGTCATTACTAGGACTATCACCCTCCTTCACTCAACGTCCCTACCCACTTTTCAACACTTCTCTAGTTCTTATTAAGTTCTACTCATCTTGAGACTCAGATCAAATAACAATCCTTTCATTTTTTTATTTTTAATTTTTTAAAATTATTTTTATTTTCTTTGGCAGAACCGGGGATGGAACTCAGGTCCTTGCACTTGCCAGGCAAGAGCTTATTCTACTGGCAGGGACCCATCTCTCTGGCCCCCCTTTTCCTTTTTTTAACAAGTCCATAAAGTAAAATACATTTTTCTTTACGTTACAAGATTTTACTTCTACTTTGACCAAAGTGGTATGTATTTTTTCTGCCTCAAATAGTTTGTTTGCGCTAGGCATGCTCATGCGTGCCTGTAATCCCAGCACTCAGGAGGCTGAGACAGGACGATCCCTAAAACGTTCAAGGCCAGCTTGAACTACACAGAAAGATTCTGTCTCAACACTTCCACAAAATAAAAAGATCCAAAACTGTAAAGACTTACTTCAAATTGACTTACAATCAAAATCCCAGCAGTTTCTTTCTGTATGTAAAAATTCACAAGCTAATTCTAAAATTTATGAGATATAAAAAGGAGTAGGAACCAGGACAATTTTGGAAAAATAATATAGCTAGAGGCCTTTCTCCCCAGGTTAGGTACCAAACAGTGAAACTGAAAATAAGAAAAAAACAATGCTTACCTTTAGAAAGCGCAAGTGAATGGTAATAACCACAAGCAACCTGTGCTATTTGGATATCTGACAAACTTTTAATATTTCTAGAAAACAAGAAGAAGAGAGAGTAGGATCAGCTCATTCAATTTAACACAGGGATCTTGAATGTCATTTATTTATATTATTTATTGAACACATACTACATGTAGCTTTCTACTGACCTAGTAAGTCATGCTTTTTCAGTCAAGGCCAATTTACCAAAAAAATACGTAAAAAATCAGTAATGAAGATTCAGATATAAAACAGCACGTGTGATGACAAAAACCCTTGAAAACAGTATTTAAGTAAAGAAAATTATCACTTCTCAGCCTTTTGGCTAAGATCAAGTGAAGTAAAGAGAATTGCTCATACATCAAGTACTCTTCAGAGTCCTCTTATAATTCAGATGTTTTAATATCAACATTAAAGTCTTTGAAGTGTGAAACTTGACAACATATTTGGGTCTTGAGGGGGGTTTGTTTGTTTTTATCTTTTTGAGACAGGGTTTCTACTATGCAGTTCAGGCTGGCCTTGAACTCACGGCAATCCTCCTGCCTCAGCCTACCAAGTGCTGTTGGCAATATATTTGTAAAACAAATGTATAACACTTAATTTGCCTAAAATTGGTGATTCACCTGGTTTTAATAAGTATGTTTTCTTGCTATCAGGTTCCAACAGAACCAACAGGAATTGTTATCATATTCTCCTAACTCACAAACAAACGAAGTCTATTCATTTTAGGCTTTTATTTATATCTAAATTAGTGACACTTACTAGGGAAATTTAATCCATTCATATTATAATGATCAATAACAAGTTCTAATTTTGCCTAATTGTGATGCATTTCTAAAGGCTAGTTAAAAAAACAAAAACAAACAAAAAAACTACTAAAAAATCTGCTAATCTTGTGGTCAACCATCCCAGCACCACCAGATAAACTTCCCCTTCACCTATTCTACTGTTTTTTCTGACTGAATGTTTTCAACAAAAAAAAAGAAGAGGGGTGAGGGAAGAAGCATGTTTCTTATTTCCCTTTACCTGATAATGCCACCTGACCTGATTCTGCCAAGTGAGAGTCCGGAGCAAGTTCTGAACACAGAGTCGATACCCGTGATTTTCGGGAAGCAGCTTCAGCAATCAAATTGTGAGCAGGAAAAAGGAGAGTTACTCTAATTCTATATTGTATTAAAATTATTTTATTTAGTGGACTTATGTTCTTGACTATAAAACCTGAGAGCTGTATTGCTAGAATTTGGCAGAATCCAACAAATTTGCAGGATCCAGAACAACTTTCAATTTTCAAACATAGCAAAATGCCATTTTTCTGCAACAGCAAAGTTAGAGACTGGCAATGCGAAAGAGGAATAAAAATACACAGAAATATACAACTGTGCTGAGATTACTAATTATTTACTACAACTGCTTATGCTCACTTGACATATTATCAATATGTTGATCTGTTCACTACAGTCAATATTATGAGGACAAACTACTGCAAGTATCAACTTGAATTTTCAAGATCAAAGTAAAATATTTTCAAAATATGATATCACACAGCACCTTATTTTTCTCCTTCATGGCATGCATCATTACCAATCACTACTGAATGAGTCAATTAACATTTGTCCTCTGCTAAAAATTTAATTTAGCCACATTACTCAGCTTGCATCCCTGAGAATCCCTAGCACCTACCACAGTTGCTAAGCAAATACAATGTGACAAATGCACTGATAAAAAAAATAAATTTGTAAACTCACAGAGGCCTTAATATGAGACACATGTTTGCCAGAGGGAAAAACTTCTAAATTTGCATAATGAAATAAACTCGGTGACTCTCTTTTCCAAAATATTGTCTTAAGGCTTGGAATGTGACAGATGCCAAGTCCTTCAGCCACTGTCAACTACACAGAAAGGAAAGTGACAAACATTCTCTTGGCATTACTATGTTGAAAAAAAAAGAATTATCTCCTTTGATCGTCAAGTAAGTTTACTAACACATTAATGATGTGGGAAGGGGCTTGCTTTGTTTTTAACTTTCAGTTTAATTTACCAAATTGGTTTCTTAAATTCTATTTACTCTAAAGATAAATGAGAAAATAAACTAAAATAGAATTTTTATAACATTCATCAAAACCAAATCATTTGTATTTTTATTTTTAGTATGAAGACTAAGAACCAAAATAATAACAACTACATTAATGTGTCAAAACATGGAAATATAAAGATATATGAAGTACTTAAAATGCAAGGAGAAATAGCAAAAAGTTTTTTGTCCTTTTACTAGTATATTTGTTTCTCTTTTTCTTTTTCCCCCATTTATGACCACATTAAGTTACTATTAATTCAGAACAGTTTGCTATTATCAAAAGATACTTTCTGTAAGCTTGTTATCCACAAAGCAAAAATCTCTAATAGACAAACCAAAACAGAGTAAGTAATAAAAGACACTACTCCACAAATCACTCACCAGCAGAAGAGTGCAAAAGAGTAAGAAAGAAAATTAAAGGGCTGCAGTAAAATACTACAGACCAAGTTTTACAAGGGCTACAGCAAGGCTTCACCACCTACCTATCAATAACAATCTTAAAGTCAGTGGACAATATGTCCTGCAGTTAAAAGATAATGACTACAAGAATAATAGCTAAGACCCAACAAGATACTGCTTATAAGAAAACTCATCTCACCACTGAAGACACACATAAACGGAAAGTGAAGGAGTAGATTAAGATATTGTATGCATATGAAATTCAAAAGAAAGCAAGAATAGGCACACCTGGATAAAACATACTTTAGGAACTAGGGAGATGGCTCAGTAGAATAAGCGCTTCTCTGGCAAGTGCAAGGGCCTGAGTTCAATCCCCAGTTCCGGAAAAAAAAAAACAAAAAAAAAAACCTTTAAATCAAAAGCAATAAAAAGAAACATGGAAAGTCATATGATGATAAAAGTGTCAATTTAGCAACAGCAAATAATAATAATGATAATAAATATATATCCAATATTGGAGCAATTAAATATATAAAACAGGGGGGCCTGGCCCTAGCTCAGTCCTTTAAGTGGCTGCTTCCACAAAGCTGTCAGCCTCAGGTTGCTGCAGTTTGAACCTCACAACTCTCCCGCTGGCCAAAAGCGCCCTGAAGGCATTCGAGGAACAACAACAACAACAAAAATATATATATATATATAAAACAGGTATCAATAGACCTAAAAGGTCAGATTCCAATACAGCAACAATAAAAGATTTTCTTACTTCAGCAACGTACAGATCACCTAGAAAGAAAGCTAACAAACAGCAGAGTTAAATAGCACCTAGACCAAGGGACCTAACAACTCTAGAACATCCCATCCAACAGCTGCAGAACACACATTCTTCTCCAGGACAGAGCATAGGCTAGGCAACTGACAGGTTTCAAAACACTGAAATTTTATCAAATATTTTCCCAACCACACAGCAATAAAACTAGGAGTCAGTAAAGGAAAAAACAAAAACGAAAACAACAACAAAAACCCTTGAAAATAAGCACATGGAAATTAAACACACCTTACTCCTCTTTTCTACTTTATTTTGTGTTGTTTTTTGAGACAGGGTCTCATTATGTCGCTCGGCTGGCCTTGAACTCATGGTGATGCTACTGTCTCAACCTCCTAAGTGCTGGGATTACAAGTGTGCACGCTAATGCCTGGCAACAACTTTCTCCTGAATAATCAATGGATCACGGAATAAATCAAGAAAGAAATTTTAAAATTTCCTTAAACAAAAAAAAAAAAAAAAAAAAAAAAAGGAGACACAACATACCCAAGCCCATAACAAGAATAAATCAAACCAAATATTAATAGATGGAAAGAAATAATACAGACCACAACTACAATAACAACAAAAAGATTGGAAAAAATTAATAAAAAGATGGGTTTTTAAAAAAAAAAAAAATTGAGGGGTGGAGTGGGGAGGACTGGGGAAATAGCTCAGTGACATAAGCTCCTGCCTGGCAAGTGCAAGGCCCTGAGTTCAATGCCTGGTACAAAAAAAAATAAAAAAGAATTTAAGAGGGCTGGGGATATATAGTTCAATGGCACAGTGTCTGCCTGGCAAGCTTAAGGTCCTCCGTTCAGTATATAGCCTGACAAACTGCTACCCAGACTTAGAAGGAAGACTGAACTCAGTAAAATAACAGAAGGAAGGAATGGGGAATTACAACTGACACTACGGAAATACAAAGGATCAGTAGGGATTTTTACAGGAGGATTTTTTTTTCCTCCAAATGCCTTCAGGGCAGGTTTGGCTGGCTTGAGTTGTGGGGATCGAACCACAGCAACCAGAGCCTGACTGCTTTGTTGAAGCAGCCACTTAAAGAACTGAGCTAAGGGGCAGGCCCCTAGGAATTTTTAAAAATAACCAACAAATGTGATAACCCTAGGTCCTAGAAGACAAGTTCTCATATACATACAGCTTCCTAAGACTGAGCCGTAAGAAATATAAAACCTGAGCAAATTACTATCAAATAATGTGACTGAATCGATAATAAAAGAAAAAGCCAGGAACTAAATGATTCACTGATGCATCTATCACTTAAACAAATGATATTAATTATTTTTCCCCTTCACTGCTGGTTCAGACTCAGAAATATGAGCATGCTAGGCAAATACCCTAGCATTGAGCTACACTTCTAGCCTGAAATACTCCTTAAATTACTGCCAAAAATAGGAGGAAATTCATCAAAATGTATCTGAAGGCCACCATTTCCCAGGTACCAAAACCAAAGGATCCAACCAAAGAAGAGTAAGAAAAAGAGTGAATGAACGAATGAATGAGAGAAAGGAGGGAAAGACAAAAGGAGAGAAGAGAAAAGAGGGAGGAAGAAGGAAGGAGCAGGGAGAAGAGAGGAGGAGAGGATTACAGGCCATTATCTTTGATGAACATAAAAAGATATGCCACAAAATACTACTGAACTGAAACCAACAGCATACCAAGATTATTCACAATTAGATGGGCTTCATTCCAGGAATACAAGGTTAAGTAAACATGCACAAACTAACAAACGTGATAGCCCACCATCAACAGAACAAAAT